CTTTTACAGCTATGCTTTGTTCAACATTAAACACAATTAATGTAAGCAAAACGTTGAGTAGATGACAATTAAAGAGAGTTTCTATCTGCACTGCATCTATTATTTATTGAATAGTTCAGTCGGCGCACAACAGTCCTACTACTGACTCTTTTCCAATACAGTTGTCGCCGAACTTCCCGAATTGCTAACGCAGACGCAAGCAGAGTCTTTTCCCGGTAATGAATTTAACAATAGTCTGCAGATAGACAAATAAATAAGTAATCGACCGACTAGTCATTATGCATGCAGAGTAGCAAGCAATTATCGAATTGGGCTGAACTACCTTTCACTAGGATTAGGCAAACAAATGCACACTCAAACTAACAGTGAGTGAACAAGAGACGGTTTTCTGAAAAACCGGAGTTCCCGCATTTGCATTTAACAAAAAGTCTGCAATGACTTTTTTCTTCCGTTTTTTGTCTTTTACAAAGTAATTAATTATCAACTAGGTTCGATTGCCAAAAGGATGCTGAGCTAAAGGCAGAAAAGGTAGCCTTCTTGTTAATGATAGTTCCAAAGAAAATGGAATAATGATGGCTTCTGTTTGAGGCACGTTGTGAATATTAACAACAACAATCACCAAACAAAGTGTTAGCAGTAGTGAATAGATGGAATGCAAAGAAATAGTGATGATATAAGCAAAGAATAGAAATCTGCTTCAATGCAACCAATTGGCTTCAACAACAGAAAACGCACCCACACACCTTGATTAAGGTAGAAGCATGGTGGGTTGCACATACACATCGTTGTATTGTGGAATCGCTAATTCTGATTATTTATCTTAATGTTTANTTCTGTTTGAGGCACGTTGTGAATATTAACAACAACAATCACCAAACAAAGTGTTAGCAGTAGTGAATAGATGGAATGCAAAGAAATAGTGATGATATAAGCAAAGAATAGAAATCTGCTTCAATGCAACCAATTGGCTTCAACAACAGAAAACGCACCCACACACCTTGATTAAGGTAGAAGCATGGTGGGTTGCACATACACATCGTTGTATTGTGGAATCGCTAATTCTGATTATTTATCTTAATGTTTAAAAGTAATTTGTAATGCAAATAGAATAGTGGTTAGGGTAGTGCTCTGTGTGCTTGACGGCCACAACCACAGCCACAGCCACTGCGGACGAGCAGAAACAGTGAAAAAAGGGATAGAAAGTGAAAGTCCTTCAGTGATTCAGTCTATACCTCTAGTAGTGGCATTCTTTGACGATGGTGATGGCAACGCTACTGCACGTCGTCCGCTCAGTCCTTAACATTGTTCTGGTGATGTAGACTGCCTGGTGAGTTAATTATTGTTTCTCGGTTAAGCCAACAACCACTGAAGCAGTGTGCACATCCACCACCGCCATCAGTGTTTCATCGGACGAGGTAAAGGCAAATAGTAGTCATGAGGCTGGTGAACAGCAGTAGTAAGCCCTCTTCAAAGTAGAGCCTGAATTGGTGCCAGCAAATTAGAGAGTGGCAGAGTAAAAGGCCCATTTGCGGATCGGTAGGCAAACAAAACGGGGGCACAAGAAGCTGCAGTGACTACGCAAAAGCGACTTTATCCCTCTGACTGACAGTGTTTAGCATGCCTATGAGTAGAAAACTGTGCGCTTTTGTAGAACTCTCCAAAAATGGCATCCAGTGTCAACAAACCAAACGAGGCTAAATTAAACGGACCATCGGTTGATGACGACTGACTAACGGTGCAAATTATTTGATTTCCAATTTGCCCCTTTTTGTATGCCCTTAGAGAGAAGATTAATTGGCAGAGCTTAAAGCTGTGAACGCTAATTGGCAAACCACTCTTCAAAGTCTGAAAAACTCTGCTCCCAGCATTGACTCAACCGCTACTACGAAAAGATCAACATAGAAAAATTGCAAATGGCAAAAGTTCACTTTCTATTAAAACAAAAAAATTGTACGGCAGTTGCAAAACACTTGCAATCGACTTTCTCAGCACACTGAACTCTGTTGCAGCTGCCAAATTTTCAATTTCTCTTACTTGCCCAGTTACTTGGTGAGCAAATCAATCTGATCGAAAGGGCAGTTGAAACTAATGGTCACTGCTCAAGTAGTTTCTATTTCATGCAGTCAGTCAGAAAAAAGTCTGCCTAGAAGAAAGAGAAGTTTTTGTGTTAGCGCCAATGGAAAATAAAGTGGTCAGTGGCGCTGAACAGCAAAAAAAGAGTGCTCGTTGCTCTCTNTCTATTTCATGCAGTCAGTCAGAAAGAAGTCTGCCTAGAAGAAAGAGAAGTTTTTGTGTTAGCGCCAATGGAAAATAAAGTGGTCAGTGGCGCTGAACAGCAAAAAAAGAGTGCTCGTTGCTCTCCAGTGCCTCGATGCACCGTCCTGCACTGGTTGCAGTGGCCAGTCAGGCAAGGTTGAGCTACTTCAAATCAATTTGCCGATATTGCCTCCTCCTCTTTTTTTTCCTCCTCTCTCCCTTTGTTGCCTTTGCTTATTAAGTAATATCACAGAGGAGCCAGTTGCAGTTGGCCACTTGAGCAAAGCAGCGGCTGCATCAGCACAAGCAACCTACTCTATGACGTCTTTCATCTTCTCCATGCGCCATCCAATCTTCGAGAGGCACAGTCGCCCATTTAATAAGTGCACTAATAACGAAAGCTTTCTAGAGATGCTGCTATTCAAGGCAGTAACAGCAGCTAAGCTCATTGCTCAGAGCCGGGCGGGATAAAAAAAGGACGACGATGAGCAGCACATTTCTGCCGTCAGATTGGGCACAAGAGAGAAGAAGAAGAAAGAATGACACTGCTAATGAAAAAGGAGCACTGACTAAAATGGCCACGGCAAAAATTTTTCTCTGTGCAAATGTGTTTGCTGGTTGACGATGTACGCAAGTGTTTACAGTGGTAGAGAACCTTTAATAAAATGCTAATAACGACGTTTGTTACTACTTCTGAGACGTGCTTTCACTCAAGTCACTGAGCAGAAAAACTTNCCTTTAATAAAATGCTAATAACGACGTTTGTTACTGCTTCTGAGACGTGCTTTCACTCAAGTCACCGAGCAGAAAAGCTCCAAAGATGTGAGCGTCATTGAATAGAAAAGAGCAAAACAGCAGAAGCAACAGCAACAGCACTGCCCTGCTCAAGAAGAAAATACAGCGATAAAATGCCGTGCAGTGCAGCGGCTACAGCGGCTGATCGATGCGACTTTTACCCAACCGATGAGCAGATCTTCCTGTCAGTCCTGGCGACATTGCGCCATTGTGCCCACTCAAAGCTGTCCTAGGATGCACTATCGCCACCAATGCCATCACTGGGCCATGTCGAGCAATCGATGCATTGAACAGTACTGCTGTAGTGCTACTGACACAACTACAACTCTCTCAATGTCTCCTTTGTCTGGTCCAGTGGCAACGTCAGAGGTGCTACTGCTGTAGAGCAGATAGACAAACATACATTGAAGATGAAAAAAACGAAAAAGTAGTGAACCGATCAGAAGTCGTGTAGCTGCCTATTTCTTGCAGTTTNCAGAGGTGCTACTGCTGTAGAGCAGATAGACAAACATACATTGAAGATGACAAAAACGAAAAAGTAGTGAACCGATCAGAAGTCGTGTAGCTGCCTATTTCTTGCAGTTGACTGCACCAAAAAGTGACTTTTTTGGCCCAATAGAAGTAAAATCATCGAATTATTTTTAGACATACTTCCAGTGACCGTTAATTAAGTTTGCCTTACAGTTTTCCAACTTGGCATCGAGTGACATTTAGAAAGACGACGACGACAAAAAAGTGGTGCAGTGTACCGATACCGGCGCTGGCACACACAGTCACATCAACATCCTCTTATCAATTGGATTGCAATTAATAGCGCCCCAAGAGTGGCCATTGTCAGAGTAGCCATTTATATCCGCTTTCAATTACAGGCCAAAAGCAGCAACAGCAGTGACTGACTGACTGGCACAGCTGAAAGAAAAAGAGAATCAATTTCAAAGTGAAGCCGGCGCTCCCAAACGTCCAGCTAAATTGATTATGCCTCAAACTGAGTTTTTCCACTTAGCTTAATTTTGTTACTGCATAATAAAAAAAGTAGAAAAAGATAAAAGTTTTGAAATGGCAGCCTAGTGGCAAAAAAGTGAAAAAAAATTAACACTGAACAAAAACCCACTGTCTAAAGCACCACAGCCCTAATTGGCCACATCAGCAAGTTTGAAACGAACAGAAAAAAGTTTTCTCTAACAAAAAACAAAAAAACTGTTTGCGCTTACCTGTATTAGTTGTGCTGGTGCAATAATCAGTTAGATACTTTTCCAAGGTAAATCGAGGCAGATGCAGGTCAGTGGTAATTTGGACGGGAGAGATTTCTTTCCACAAAAACATTAAATCTTCGGTTGTATAGCCGTCTGAAAAAAATATAATAAAAATGTAAACAAATCAACAAAAAACTACACATAAAAAAACATACAGCTGGCCATTTCAATTTGGCACACTTGCTTGTCCAGTGGGTAGTACTTGAGATCCATTGGACAGGCAAGAACAAGCGATATTCGAATGGAGTATAACACATCGCCATTAGGGTGAATACGCAGTAACACATTGGGCAGAATGATGTTGTGAAAGTGGCCTTCTTTTTCATTCTTAAAGAACAGATCAGGCCGCCAAACCTTGCCTGGCTCAGTTAGCACAAGGTAGCGAATCTGGCCGTTCATATCGTCAAACTTGAGGCGACTATCAATCCAAGTCTGGCGAAAGGTCAGTTGTACCGAGTATTCCTGTAAACATAGTCAAAAAGTATCGACACACACAGTCAGTTATAAAAAAAGTCGTTTAGTTTGCTGAAGTCCGTGATGCCACATTTTACAAGTCCAACATTCAATCAAACCATAGGAAATCGCTTTTAGTTGTAAATACAGATACACTACAAGTAAAAACGCGCACTGATAAGCTCAAATGCAAAAACTAAAAGAGAACCATTTGAAATAGTCCTCGACATTTGAAAGCACTCAAGTGCAGATAGCGTCTAGGGCTAATTTTGATGACAGCAGCTCTGTTCTGTGACACTACGTTTACTGAATACTCATTGGAAGCTCATTACTGGCAGTTCACTGTCTAATTAATTATTTTCCTTCTTTCAAGCAGTGTTCATAAATCAATGCACAGCTAACTAGCACCAGAGTCTGCCCTTCTTTTCATGAACGAAAGTGGAAAGTGGCAGCAGTGAGGCCAACCGTGGCAAAAATCAGCCCTTTCATCAGTGATTGACTGCAGAACAATTTAATTGTCATTAGCCTTCACAGAGGCCTAATTGAATCGATTATCAGAACTGCCAACTTTTTCACTAACCTTTCCATACTCCCAGTCTCCAGACTGCTGTTTGGCACACTTCCCCTAACTACTGCTTTGGCATTAATTAAACTGCTGACTTGATTGCTTAATTATAATTTGAAGGACAGAACAGGCCAACGAGTGTAGGGTTGCACTGGCACAATTCAGTAAAATGAAAACAGACAAATAAGCCAAAGTGGAGACGTGCTGATAAACACAGGCGCCAGAAGAGTGAGCTCCCATGTTGACAGTAATTTGCATGTGTCACCACACTCGCACACACAACTTGGCCAGCTTGCCTAATCTCAGCTGATGGTGAGGTGATGGTTGTTATCTGACCAGCAGAAGCCACCAGCAAACTCTCTTCCTCTGTCCTGTCCTTTTTTCCCGTTCAACTCGATGACAGTCAGCAGGAATAGTTCCCATGTGCAGCTGAGCAAGTGGGTGAACACTGCCACTAATAAATAGTTTTGCCTTCTACTACAATTAGTAGCACTCTTTTCCAGATAATCTGCAGTGCCAGATAAAGTGATGATAATAAAATGTTGTCCAATAGTGTGTCTGTTTTGTCAACGAAAGAATGACTTACCATGTCAAGGTCACTAATTTTGCTAATGCTTCTAATGAGAATATTTACATTAACCATACAAGGGCCGTCCGCTGTAGAATCGATTG